GATCACCTGCTACAATAAACACAACAGATGCATGAATGCACACACTTACCCTGTCTTGGAATTCGTTCAGATACTGTGCCGGAGTGATCACAGTCTCCACTTCTCGCTCACCGTCCTTTGCCAGCTGCAACATGCACAACATGAAACAAAATCCATTACAAAAGCAATATAGAACATGTCCGATGATTTTCAGTGAAAACAAATCCCTGGAGAATGTTACATTTCAATGCAGAACACTACCATCCTGCGTGCATCTGGCTGCATGATAAACGACATGACGGCAGCCAGCATCCTCCCTCACTATGTGCTCGTACCTGAATGGACTTGGAAAGCGGCGTCAGCTTCTTCAGAACACGACCCGTGTATGTACACAGTCGAGCGTGGAAGCGCAGGGAAATCTTCTGGCTCGTGTCGCTCTTGTTCTCCATCTTGACACCGAGGCGAACCTTGGCACCAACCGGCAGGTTCTCCCAGGACGGCTTCAGCACTTCAAACGTGACGCCGTGATCATCGGACTCGCTATCAGTGGAAAGGAGGGTGGCACGCTCAGCCACAGTGCCTTCCTTGTACTTGTACTGCAAGTAACACACACACACACATGTGCACACACACACGTGCACACACACACACACACACACACAACAAAGAACAACAACATAGAGAATCACCATCGACTCTGGCTGGAGTCTCTACCTGGCTCTAGCTCACATTCTTGTTGCGTGTACTGCCCACAAAGATAATGTGCAGGTCAGGATGGCCGAGTGGTCTAAGGCGCTGCGTTCAGGTCGCAGTCTACTTCTGTAGGCGTGGGTTCGAATCCCACTTCTGACATCTCTCTTTTTGGCTTTTTTTTGCTGACAATCCATCTACATGACTGTACAGTTCAGACTAATAGTTCTGTAGGCATCAGTACAAATCCCACTTTGAGTCTTGACATATGCGTCTCTTTTTGCTTTTGAGCAATTTGACACATTGCAGCACACTGACACAAAAACAGGTGGAATCCTAATACTAGCCGGATACGACTTAAAATTCGACAACCGGTATACCACTTCACTACAAAGTAGAACTTTCTTCCAGGACCGATTTCAGCGAATACAATTATAACAGGAAGTTGGTGACTATTACCGTGACTATTACCGTGACTATTACCGTGACTATTACCGCCGAAGTCGCAACTTCTAAGTAAAATTATAACAGTTTTTGATAATTCGAACCTCGAACTCGGCAAGTACGCCATATTAGAAGTCCTATGAAATCCGCTCAGATAGAACATGCGTGGTTCAGTGTGCGCAACTTGTCAAGGAGACTGTATTGGCCAGTTCGGAGTGTGTGGAATCGGTGTCTATGCTGCATACCGCAGTGCAGCTCGGTATAAGTACCTGTACACCGCAAATTGATTATGCAATCGACTGCGATCGATATACAATTGTGAAGGGGAGTGATAGTATATGTCAGGATGGCCGAGTGGTCTAAGGCGCTGCGTTCAGGTCGCAGTCTACTTCTGTAGGCGTGGGTTCGAATCCCACTTCTGACATCATTCTTTTTTGGCTTTTTGGCTTTTTTCATGTCTCCTGGCCATCAATCTACTACTGCACAGTACAAAGTTCTGCAGGCACCAGCACAAATCCCAAATCTGACATACTGTGATACATGTCTCGCTCTTTACTTTCCAGCATAACGACATCATGCATGCTGAGGTAAATTGATGGTCCAAACATACAGACAGCAGCACAGCGTTAAAAACTACCTGACAACTCGCTCTCATCCTCACCTCATCTGTTATGTATTGCACGCGTGAATTGCCGACTTGCTTGGTGACCACAGCCGAGCCAACGCCGCCTTTCTTGTGACTGGAGAGCTCCATGTCCTCACCTTCTTTCACGACCCACTCACGAATGTCAGCGTTCACCTGTGTGCAAGAAAAAGATATCATTCATTATTGCTAGTGTTCATACCAAGGAGAGACCCGCAAGACTGGAACGTACCACATACAGCAGCACTGAGACCGACTACAACACACAGCAGCACTGAGGCCGATTGCAACACACAACATCAACAAATGCATACCGAGCAGAAGTACACATTAGGACAATGTATTCACATCATATGCTAGAATCGTCAACACAGTTATTACACACAAATACAAGAGACGGGACACGGCTGTTTTAGAAACGTTTACCACACAGGGCAATCATCAGACAGCTTACCCAGCTGCCTCCTGCCTCCTGCATTCATGTATACTGCTCTTCACTCTTTCGAGCTGCCCCAACTGGCCCCGATCGTGTGGTTATGTAATACGTATACAGGTGGCCGGAACATTCACTACTGTTAAAAAGAGTCAAAGCAGGCATGCGCTGTGTAGCAAGTCAATAAATGATGACTCGCAAGTACAGATACCACATCACGGTTGAACGGGCTTCGTGGTTTACCTCGGCGATGACAAAGTCCGTGTCATAGTTGCACTTCAGGCCCTGCTTGACCGCATGGAGAGGCGCTGGGCCCATGCGGAAAATGCTGCGCCGCTCTCTGGCCGCTTTGCTCTCCTCCTGCGGAGTGGCATCCAGAGCTTGCCAGCCATCGTAGCCAGGTGGCAGGTCGCGGCGCTTCATCCAACAGTCATTCCAAACATGGAAGTTCCTGGCAGGCACAGAGATACCAGCAAAAGAAGATTGTTTTAAACCAACATTCTTTTTCGACCGTGCTACCCGTCGTTTGTCATAACTTGTAGAAGGAGGCTTATGCATTGAGATGAGACAGAACCAAACATTTCAGCGACAGATCATGTCTGACATGGGCATGTACAAGGATATACAGTCAACTTTGCGTATAACGACACTCGGCGGGGCATCAGAAAAGTGTCCTTATTCGCGAAGTGTCGTTATACCCGAAGTCTCATTATATGTGTTACAGTTGGATGGGACTTTGCTCAAGGCATAGAAATGCTGTCGTTATTCGCGAATTGTCGTTATATCCGCAGTCGTTATTAGCGAAGTTGACAGTAGATTGCAGTGAGCAAGGCTAAGACTGCACTTAAAAGTGGATTCCTTATTAGAAGAAAATGGACTTCTCATGATTTATCATGGCTTCTGAAACAGCACTCAACATTACCAGATCGAGTCAGCAGTCATGTCTTCAAGACTCTCTCCATCCTCGTCAAAGTACGAGTCGATGCTCCTGTTGAAGTCGGTGTCATGGGCTGAATCAAAGGTGGTCACTGAGCGGCAAGGAATGCCTGTCGTCAAGAAGAAGAAGAAGAACAGGAATTGAGCAGCTATGTGTCACTCTGCACCAGGATGGACCGTGGCTCCCGGAGCAGCTGGCCTGCTGACAGCCAAACTGGTTGATCGTGATCCCCAGCAAGAATAATTAATTCGATAATGAATTGGCATTTATAAGGGAGGTCTATAAGCACCGGCCTCACCCAGCAGGGCTGGTTCTGTGCAACTAACTAGTGCTGGTAGCACATCCAATACCAACTCTTACCCTCACCACTAGTACTCCGGCTTCTGTCCCAAGTATGTTTGATGCGTTTGTCAGCCTACAACCCTGAGACCTATGGCCGGGCAAGTCTGGCGAGCCTCACTAGCCTGTAGAACCTCCTCACTGCCCCTATCCCCTATGCTAGTCTTATTCCTGTCACACCTTGTCTCTTCTGCTGCCATCATTTAGTCTCCCCCCCCCCCCCCCCTCAGGATAGAATGAGGTTGGCCGGGGTACAGATACAGATCCAAATCATGATCTTCTGTGGACATGTCAGTTCACAGGATGCGAGTACTGATCCAGAACCTAACCATGGCACACCGCATGCATACTTAACTGGATGCTAGGGAAGCTAGCCATGGTAGTCAATCAGGAAGACTAAGACTGAGGGTGATGAGGGTGAACTTGGCTTACCAAGGATGCGCATAACAGTTGTGTAGAGACCAGAAAACACCCAGCACTGTCCAAACTTGACGGGCTGTTCGCCGTTGTTTACATACTCCTCAAGAATGGCTGCAGACCCTTGCCAAATCCAGGGCTTGGTGCCGTCGCTGTAGTCGCCCGACCAGTTGCCTTCCAACACGCCGTTGTTATCGGCCGAATTGCACAGCGATGTCATGCGACGGCACAGCCGGGGGATGGAGCTGCGGTCCTCGTCCGTGCACTTTGCCAACAGGCCGGACACGGCGAAAACACTGCTCTCACGGTACAGGCCAAACGACCAGGGCATGCCGCGCTTGCTGCCTGCATACACACGTCCATAACTGCTGAGCACATACTCCTCACGCTCTGCTTCCACTGACAAGTACACTTCATCGTCCTCGTTCCAAGCATTGGCCACTATGAGCAGGCGCTGGGGCAAGTCAAAGCTCTCAATTGAGCTCTTAGCCGCGCTGGCTTCACCGCCGGCTGCACCACCTACGTCACTCGGCGCAGCACTAAAAGCAGTGCGGACTACTACAGTGTACACACCCAGCGGGAGAGTGGCGGGAAAACTCATTTCAACTTCGCCCTGGCTGAGGGCGCGAAACTGAACCTCCTCCATGAAGCCATCGTAGAAGCGCTGTAGACTGACGGACCGCACCACGACTTGCCCCTCGCCACAGACGATCTTCAATCGTAGGTTTTCTCCACGCCGCGCCACGCGCCATTCATCGTTCACTGGAAATCGGTCCGTGTGATGTTGACGGCATGTCTCTTGCCAGTCACTAAACTCCACACTTGCTTTGGCCATCTCGGCTAGTCGCACTCACCTGAACTAGCCACTAAGTGACTGGTGAATTTACAATGCCACCAACTTATTACCTTGCCAAACACGGCAGTTTGCTGTCCTCTCAGAGATTTCCTCAGCTCAGCGAAGTTAGTTGTTGCAACGTCGTAGACTGAGACAATGGTACGATCCTCGCAGTCGGGCATTTATGCTTTATCCGTGCCAGCATAGAAAACACCAAGATCCGATTCTACACCGTCCCGGCCCGATCACCCCCGACGGCCCGAGTCGAATCCCACGCGATTTCGAAACCCTTTATTCGGCTTACGAGCTCCATGGATCCAGAGTCCAGTTCATCTGGTTCACGAGATCGGGATGCCAATCATACTCCCTCCACATGCTTCATCAGATCAGCTGAGACTGTGAGAGCTAGAGGCGCTGCATGGATGGGCGAGCGGCGTGCGCTAGCTGCGTAGACCGATGAACAATGAACAGTCAATGATCTGCACTCGTCTACTCAGTGCACCAATCTGCACAACGCGAGCGTGTTACATGGTGAACAGGAGTACACAAGCTTCACAGATCCCCCGGGCCCCGCACCAGGACTCGGCAGGAGCGCGCATATGCGCATGCACTAGACTCGATCTACCGTGAGTCCGTGACGCCGGCTAGGTGTTGACATGTCAATCATTCTGACATTCATGCTCAAAACCCTCAATACAATGTCACTATGCATAATGACAATAAATCGTCAGAACTCAGAACTTCAGAAGGCTTGCACTAACTAGCTGTTACTTTGAAGGAAGATGTTGTCAACATGTTTGACATGTTGATGCTTTTCACACCCTATGTAGCAAGGCTCATGTACTACGGTAGTACAGCTTTCGCCATTCTAATTTGTATGCCTCAGCTCACACAACGGCCAACAGCTGCAGCTACATGTACATGTACATAATCATTGTAGCTGATACTATCCGGCTGGTGGCACGTATTCATTGTACATGTACTACTACTGACGTCTTTTTACGTAGCCGCGTAGAGCACACCACATCAATCTTTCCAGTGGCACTGGCAGTGCTCACTGCTGCTGTCACTGCTAAGCCGGTTCACTGACCTGTGACCCAGTAGGCAGTACCCAACTGTCAACATGATTGTCATAACTCTGTCTCGCCAGCCATTCCCGGCAACTCGAACATACGCTGCTACCTCACACACATGTACATGTAACCTTGTCGTCACAATCATGATGAAACTTACTTATCACTCGTCGTCATGATGACTGTACCCGTACTATCAATTATTTATTTACAATCCTATCCATCTGCAATACAGTATTACTGTCATGACGTCAGTGTAGCCGTTGCGCCTGTACTGTAGTGTAGGGCAGCTTGGAGAAAGGCCAAGGCCAAGTAAAGGGGGCAACTGACACAAGTGCTGTTTACTGTTTGTGGGCACAATCACAATACTAGTAAGCGCTCCGTCCTACATTATTAGCTATGGCCACCAGCCTGTGTAGTTTCACGGGAAGCGTGAGTCTAGAAGTCTGATTCTGAAGAAAATGTTGAAGACTTGAACTTGAAGTTGAAGAGTCACTGCTACTCCATACACTGTCTGCACATGTACATGATTGTACAGTCACTGAGTGTATGGAGTAGCTCGGTGGTCAGAGCTCTAGTGGCCTATACATACTAGTAGTAATAGCGAAGGTTCCTGGTTCGAATCCTGGTGGCGACAGGCATGTTTTTCTTGAGACCTTTTTCCCCTATACATATTCCCTCCAAACTACTAGTGGCAATTACAGTGCATGTACAGTGTACATTACATACTGTACATGTACATGCACTGTACTCATACTGGTAGCTATGCATGCAGGACTCATCAACAACATGACATTGTACAGTATTATAACTTACATGACACATGTACATGTACATGTACATGTACATGTTTAAAGCGGACGACCAGTGAGGCTATCTGGAAAGTCCTGGGGAAATTCCACCGGTTATTATTGCTTGCCAGTTGGTGGGAGAGAATGTGGGTAAGAATGGCATTCCTCGTGCCGTGGTCACTGGTGGTTTGAGGAATGAGTGAGACGTGCCAGCCAGTCACGGAGGGGACTGTACTCCGCCAACAGTACCGACAAGGCCTAAGGGGTGAGGGGCATAAACAGTATGCTACTTCCAGCAGATTATTATTATTTATTATTTTGCTTGTTCGCGTTGGCATCAACCTGCATAAAGCAGGTATATAGCCTTCGCTTAAGCTGCCATAAAAAAGAAAGCTCATCCTAAGCGAGAGGGCTAGAGGGAAATATAACGATAACGAGATACAGAATACAAAGAAATCCAATGAGTTCAACGTACAATTCAAAACAAGAAAGAAAGGGAAGAAAAACAGAGCCGAATCTACCGATTGATCCATCAATCGACAAAGGGGACTAATCCGTTAGTGTTGCAAAGTAGAAGCTGATTATAGTTGCAGATCTCCAGGCCAGGGCCAGCATATTGCCGATTCTGGATAGGTCTCCGCAGCATTTGATGTGGTAATTATCATAATGTTTGATAAAATTGTTAGAGTATCTAGTATCTAGAGTACCGAGTCTCTAGTATCTAGAGTATCTAGTGTAATTGTATCCGTTATTATTGTTAAGGGTATCTAGTGTAATTGTATCCGTTATTATTGTTAAGGGTATCTAGTGTAATTGTATAACTTCAGCCATTACACACAGCACACATTAGATCCTTCCACTTTCGACGATCCTGGGCGAGCTGCCTCAGTGCAACTAGATCCTCGTGTGACTTCCAGCAGATACTGGTGCAATGTGTGACTACATGTACATGTGCATGTACAAGTGTATCTTGATGGACTGGAATGTGCAGGCCAAAATTCCAAAGTTATACCAGGTAAGCCTCGCGACTGCCGGCTACCAGGCCAGAAGAAAAGATCGAGGGGTAGATCTACGTCGTACATGTACATTACCTTCCACTTGGCAAACCTGCAGGAAATAACCACCCCCTGCTTAGTTCACTGTATTTCGGAGAATTCAGTGCACCCCTCATTAGCCCTTGACGGATAATGCTGGCAGAAAAACCGGCAGAATTTGGTGCTTTTCTTGTAGAATGTTTCAGGAATGTTTATGGATGAAGAAGAGAAGCAGAATTAAAAGGAATACTCGCCATAAACTTTGTATGGTTCTGCCAATTTCACTGCTTTTCATAAGTTCGGGCCCGGCACGATCCTTCAGAGCTTGCAGCTCAGGAGGGCAGTCTCAGGGCTTGCAGATGTGTACAAGTAAGTTGCACTACATTGAGGGCCCACCCCAGCTGACAGCCCTCCTCCCGCCACCATCAGCGCCTGCACCACACACACTGTCCTACTCTTAGTCTTAGAACCCGCCGACAACTAACTTCTCGCCACCCCTTCTACATTGTATACATGTAGTTGCAATGGCCACTTGCTCGGATAGCACCAAACTACCTACTGAGGTCATTCCCCTACACCCTCATTGCGGCATGGAACGACATTCCTGAGCAAGTCATCCCGAGCCTCCTGCATCGAAGGGAATGCAGGCCTTCAAGTCACGCATACATGTATGTCAGCACCTGATGCGCCAGGATTGGTTGTGGGCGACAGCATTCCATGGCTAAATATTTAATTTGACGGTATTCCATTCTCCAGTCCCACAACGATCACCTAAGTCCTTGTCTTCACCCCACTGAACTGTACCTTGCTCCCTAGAGCTCCCGAAACACCTCAGTGCAGAATGTTTTGCGTTTGTGTTTCTTTCTTTTCTTCTTTCCTTTTTTGCTCCTTTTGGTGGCCCCTTTCTCGCTCATCCAGTGCCTGCACGCTATTCTGCCTGGCTGAGCAGCTCCGATTTAACTTCTCCGTGAATTCGCCGAAACACTGTGTATTGAGCAGGGAGTAGTGCTTTCCTTGCAGGTTTGCCGACTGGAAGGTTCGACGTGTGGTCAGTGTTGAAACTGACAGGAAGCGTGGGCTACATATGCAATGATTATGGTCATGGACTTGGAATTACATGTAGCAGTATTCGTCTTACCGCCGAATTCGCTACTTCTAGTGCTTCTACAGTAAGCTCCAAGTTAGCAACAGACTCTTTTTAGGGAACTGAATGTGCGGACAAAGACCAGTCCTGCATGTATGTTTTTGTAGCCCAATTTTTTGTCCCAAAGGTGCTATGCGGATGCCCTCATTTTGAAATAACGTTAGTTTGAAGTATTCCGTCACTATTCGCTCCATGGCATGGGACTGCCGATAGGTGTCCTCAGTTTCCAAGTGTCCTCAGTTTCTAAGTGTCCTCACTTAGTCCTTCGGAATGCCTGAGTGAGTGTGTACATGTCATGTTTGCTTCGACTGGTGTATGCGTCCTCCGACAGACTCCATCTGCTTCGTCCAAGTGTCCACGCCTGACACGACTCGGTCGTACACGCACTGCGAAGTACTACAACTAAGTACCGCTACCAAGTGATCACACAAGTGATATGACACGACTGCACCCAGATCAATGAGGGACGACAACCTGCGGACGGTGAAGTCAGTAAATGTCGCGACTTCGGCGATAATCATTAGAAGGAGGTTGGTTGCTCGCAAAACCGGAGCTCGCGCTTTGCCTGCCGACTTGACTTGAATGATACTTGACTGGCTCACGACTACCATCTAGAGCAAACGAGAAGTCCATCGCACCTTCGACTGGGCAAACCACCTGCAAGAAAGCGCCACTCCCTGCACAATTAACAAGTATGTCGGGGAATTCACCCCTCTTCGGTTGAGCCCCTAGCTCTGTACATAGGCTGAGGAAGAGCTGAAGAGCACGACTTTTTTCAAGCCGGCTCAACACTCTGCCATTGCGTGGACATGGCTAGCCTTTAGCCTTTACCATGTTTACTAGGCCGGTAGGCCAGGGGGGGGGGGGGGGGAGGAAGGGGGCATAGGGTGATTTTAGGGATGCCGTGGCGTTGAGGCACGGATGGCCTTTGGCTGATGTCCCATCAAGGTGTGTCTGTGCTGTCCGACCGGAGGCTTTCCGCCAGTGCGGCATAACGAGGTACAGGACTTGTTTGCAGATCTGATAACGGAGGTATGCCCTGATAGTGATACCGCAGTTGAGCCTTTGCTGGCTCAGATACAAGGAGAAGTATTGGCGGCAGCCAGCACCAACATTACCAATGATGGCCGATCGGACATTCGAGTACGTGGGTTCCGGACTCTGGCGCAGAGCACCCTTCTAAGTAAGTTCTAGACGTTCGCGTCTTTCACCCCGATGCGGCTTAGTATGCCAAGAAACCT